CCCCAAAACCCCAAAACCCCAAAACCCCAAAACCCCTTTGAGCTAAAAATAATTGAAACACTCTATAACTCCTTGATTTTGGGTTCTTTCTGCTTATAAGTCCTCTGGTGTTTTTGTTGGTACTTAATAGTCTTCTCAATATTCTTCCTCCTCTTCTTCTCGAACCGGTCCATCAGCTGTTCCTTCTCCTTATCATCGCCCTTGGATTCTCTTTTCTTCTGTCTTTCAGTGGCGTATTTAACTTTCTTGGAGATTTCTGCTTTTTCAAGGTAAAAGTTTTGCTCTCTTTTGGCTTGGGAAAGACTCATTTTAAGCCTCTCTTCCCTGACTTTCTTGTCATACTCAAATTTCTCCTTAAGATTTTCCCATTTAAACTTTGGAAGATACCTCATAAGCCAGGTATCGTCCCTGTTGAGGTTGTGGCGCTTCTTGCCTCCTACAAGTTGACCATTGAGGCATCTGGCTACTTCTTTGGCAACCTTCTTGTCTGCAAATTCGATCCATCCTTCTTTGAACTTAAGCTTATAGTTACCACCGTTCTTTCTCCGGGCCTTACGAGCGCCTTCTGATTCAGGAGATAGATACATCCTTTCGCAATTAAACTTCTTGAATAGCCTCTTTATAGTGGAAGGGTTCATAAATGGAGGAATTTTAGGAAGATAAATTATTCCTTTCTTCTGTTGAGCAGCCTTGTAGCTCTTGGCTTCAGCAATGAGCTCTTCTTTGTTCAAGTTCTTTGTTATATCTAACGATGTGGATGTACTGGTCAGGTCCTTTAAGGTTTGCTCAAGCTGAGCGATTTCTAAAGGATTAGTAAGAAAATGGTATGTTTCAAGAGGGTGTGATTGCATAGGTAGAAGGAAGGGATACATGCTAAATTACTTACCAAGAGATGCTTGATTTTGGCCTTCTTCTTCATCTTCTCCTTCAGCTTCTAGGTCTTCAATATCTTCTCCTTCCCCAATGATTTCTTCCTGTTCAGAATACTCGTTTTCTTTGCTTTCCATTGACTTTCTAAAAATATATATTTTTTCAACATTCTACCACTTAAAAGGGGTTTTGGGGTTTTGGGGTTTTGGGGTTTTGGGG